GGAAAGAGATTAATTTTGGTAAACAATATAAAAAAAATATCGTTATTCGTTACAATCATATGGATATAAAAAAACACAAAAATAATAGATAATAAAGTTAAAAACATTCATTTAAATATGATAATTTTATAAAATCATCATTATTTATCATAAGCTACAATTTTTTTTAAAAAAAATTTCATAAAATTTTATTGATTATACATTATTAACTACATGTGTAAAAGAGTTTTATTATAGTTATTATAAAAATTAACAAATTTATCGTTTCATAAATCATAATACAAAATTATTTTATAATATCAGTAGATATTTTATAATATTACTTTTTAATTATAATATAATATTATTTTTATTTAATAATAATTTATTTTAAAATATTAAAATTTTATTCATAAATAATCACGATAAATAAAAATCGAATTAAATATATAATTAAAAGAATCTCCAAAAATAAATTTGTTAAAATAAAATCCTTAATAACGTTACCACACATGATAAACGTGTTTAATTAATATATAATGATCGGTAGTTAATATGTTTTAAATTTATAATAAATAATTTATATTATAATACAAAATTATATTATTTAATGCTTATTTTTTTAAAATATTAAAATTTAATTTATAAATAATTATAATAAATAAAAATTAAATTAAATACATAATTAAAAAATATGTAAAAAATTGTTACCGAAGAAAATTCAAGCTTAAAAAATAAATATTAGTATTTAATATATATAAATATCATTAAAAATTAATTAAATATTTTTATTATTTAATTTTAAACGTGTGATTCAACGGTAGAAGTTGATCCACACTTAAATAAAATCAGGAGTTGAAATTCTACTTTATATATGTAACGAAGTTAAATTTTGGAATTAGTTATCTCATCTTATATTAAAGCTATAGGTAGATACTCGATGAACGAAAAACAAAAAACTCTTATTACCTAATATGGTTGTGAGTGTGACGTGCAAGAGTTTCCAACGGCAGCAATATAGTAAGGCGGTTTAAGGAAGCATTATATATCATTTCACTCTCTTCGTCTCTCTCCTCTGCCTCTTGTAAGTTTCCTTCCTTACCACACCCCTTCGTTTGCTATTTTCACCTTTTCTCTTAATAATAATAATAATTTTTTTTTTTTTTTTACTTGACGGAAATTTCTAGGCTTTCTAATTCATGTTCATGATTTTTCGATTTTGTTTTCTCAGTGAATCCGATAAATTCTGATTGTTCTGGAATGTTCTTGAACCTAAGCTTCAATTGCGTGCAATTTAAGTCTTTTTTCTGTTGTTATTCTTGGATTTCGCAACGCAAGGTGTTTGATTAAATGCTCAAGAGAAGGGTTGAACTTGAACCCGAGGCTGTTGTTGTGGTCTTACCTAACTTTGTTCTCTTTGTGTGATAGTGACCCTTTGGCAAAGAAGAGAGAAGATGGCACCTCAATTGGCAGCAACCAACTCTTCTCTTCTCCGTCTTCCCCCCTCTTCTCCTTCTCTCCCTTTCCCAAGGTATGGTATTCCACCGCTTACAATTTTTCCCTGCTTGTTGTATGTTTATATTTTTTTATTATTGTTGTTTTTGATTGCTTCATACATGTATTACACTCACAAGGGCCGCTATGAATTAGTGGGGGCCTTTCTTCATCATGTTTTCATTATGTTGGTTAATTTGTACTTTCGGGGAACCCATGTTTGTTATTCTATGGATTAAGATGATCTAAGTGGCATTAATTTGATACTTTGATGAAATGTGTTATTTATGTAAAGTGGGTATTCTGCCACCGGAGTTTTTTTTCATGTAATAATAGACAGACAGTTGAATTGAATTTGGCAATTGATCAATCCTCTTCTTTTTTAAAAGTTTAGAACTTTGTCATTGTAAGAGATACTGAGGGTTGTGGTTTCTAGTTAAATTTGTAAATCATGGTTATTAGCCCTTGAGTTGTGGTGCGGTTTTTCTTTGCCCGTGATTGTTGAGGTCTCCAGGAGAAATTATCTCACGAGTCATTATACTTTTTAATTTGAAAAGAAGGGTGGTTATAGTATCTCTGCGTGTTGGGTTTTATTAGGAGGAGAATTTGATTTGATAGGTCATTAGTTCTTTTTTTTTTGGTGAGCAGGTCATTAGCTCTTGCACTACTTTAAAATAAATTTTGAATTGCAAGTACACTCTTTAGGGTTTGTTTGGATTGATGGTCAGGGATGGAGTGACTGAAAAAAAAAATGTTCCCCTATATGATTTATAAAATTGAAGATGGGAGAGGGTGGATCCCATTCCACTGTTTAATTGCATTTTCCCCCGTTAATTTGGGATGCAGAGGATGGAGTCCGATTTTTCTAAATTATGAAATGTCTAATTTGACCTTATTATTATAACTGCTAGATGTCACTTTCTCCCCTCATTTTCTACTTGTGCAAACGCTGCTGCCTGCACATTGTTCCATTTTGTTGTGAGTCACAGTTTGCTTCTCTGGTATAACTGGTGCACATAGAAGCAAAGGACAAACAATTTCTTTTATGGGTGTCACATTGCAGATTGTAAATCCTCCAACCAACAATAGTTTAAATTGACCAAAGTAGAACCCCCATTGACAGAAAATAAATAAAAAATGCAGAACATGTTTATTCTCCAGTTTGATCAGATAAACTAAAGAAGTCTTAAAGGTGTGCACAAGCTCTTTAAATATATTAAGCAGGGTACTATGACAACACAGAGATCATACAACTAATAAAACCTTACAGTTTGTACTATGACATTGACTTTTTTATGACAAAAAAAGAGAAGAAAATAAAGTTAAAACAAGGATAATAAAGGAAATGAGAAGTTATAAATTACTCCATTTTGTTCTTTTTCCAAATGATGGAATGGAATATTTGTTCCACTCTATTATAAGTTATCCAAACAATGAAATGATATTTTTAATCCATTCCACTTGGATTCATTCTACTTTATTATGCCCTGGTCTATTCCATTACATTCTCTACCAGCAATTCAAACATAGCCTTGGGTTAATTTAATCACGGTTAGCCTATACAAGAAAGGACCTTATAATAACGAGGAATTTGAAAATCAGGGCTCATTGTTAAGCTTTTGTGTAGTAATTGTGGCATGTTAATAGACTTTTGTCAATGTATTCATGTTTCTCTCATGCTTCAAATGTGATGAGTTTGTGTTGGTATATCATGGTTTCTCTTGCTTCTCCTCTATTGGCATCTAGAACCTCACATTTTCTTTGTATTTGGTTTTATACTAGGAATAAATATTTGATTTCTGAAAGATGCACTATAATCAACAGGAAAAAGAATCATGCCATCACAGCTTTTGCAGACAATTCTATCGGTAAGTAAGCATCTTGCTCCCCAACATTTTTTTTAAGGATTTTCTATCTAGTTTTAATATTAGATTAACTCCATTAAATTTATTTTAATAAAAAAATAGATCTCTGTCAAAATATTTGCTGTAAGAGTAACGAAATGAGAGGACATTTGAGACTTGTACGTTGATTTTGGCTAATCTCCTCATAACATTTTGTTTATACACCTTGTCATCTAAATGCAATTCCTTTATCAAATTGCATGTGTTATTTAATTAAGTGCTTAAAAATTGTTTAGTTGCTTAATCCCCAAATTCTTCATATCAGGAAAATCAGCTATCCAACTCACTGCTGTTTCATCTCCACTATTTGCTGATAAAGAAGATCGCCTCTCACTCAAACTTCCCATGTCTCGGAGATTCAATTCTATGATCCGTGGACAAGCATTTATATATCATTCATCTGGTTTTCGAATCCCAGCAAATGCTGAGAAGCCAGAATGGTGGTGGAGAACTTTATCCTGTGTTCCCTATCTAATAGCATTGCAGATATCCGCCACCGGGTTTTATCTAGAGCCTTTACTTGAAAAATTTCCATTCTTTCATAATTTGATCTTTTATATCCCAGGAGCTGCCAACCGATTACCAAACTGGTTCCCCATGTTATATTGCTATGTGGCTATTGTGTGGGTGGTTAAAAACAGAGACCTTCCCCTTATCTTCAGATTCCATGTAATGATGGGAATGTTACTGGAACTCACTCTGCAGATAGTGTGGGTTGCAAGCAATTTCATGCCACTTATACACTTCAAGGGAACATTGGGGATGTATTACTGGGCTGGTGTGGCGTTGGCATATATTTATGTAATGATGAGGTGCATAAGGAGTGCGCTTCTGGGCACATTTGTGAGCATCCCTGTACTTAGTGAATCAGCTTTCCTTCATTCTCTATTCGGTTTAGGAGGATTTCAACCTCCATTTTAGAATGTGGATCTAAAGAGCATATGTACTTTATAGGTGGTTTTGCAGTTGAGTGAAGGATTCTCCTATTGTTTGTAATTGACTTTTTGTTTTTACCTTATAGAGATACGTGATATCAAGATTTTTTGAAAATTTCATAATTCTCTCTTGTTTTTTTTTTTTTTTTTTCCTTGCCTTGCTTAATTGAAAGGTATACTAGTCGGAGCTAGGGTAATATCCACACAGTCTTTAGATTTAAATCTTAGGAGTTAGGTATGCACACTAATTATGTGGTGCTTGGGGTTATTGACTCTGATTTCTAGATTTTACTAGGGCTCTAGAGAAAATTATTGAGTTAAACTTAAGGTTCTCATGTATATACCTCAATCTCTATTGTTAGGACAATTTTAATGTTTTTTTTTTTTATCTTACTTCAATTTAATGAAACAATATATCTATTCTTGACAATTTACAATGTGAAAATGTCAAATAATAACTTGACAATAATAATTTTAAATATATTAAATTATATTGTAATTTTGATTTCTATATATCTATATATTAAAGGAATCATGGTAATTCATTATAGGTTTGAGTGACGATCATGATAAAAAATGTACTACTTCACTTGTTTCCAATTCAAACATCACTTCTTCACATTGCCAAATAATAATATGAAGGACAACGACAATATATTTTGGCTTTTTCCCTTCAATGTGTAGTATGCCTCCGTAATATTAATACTAATCTGTTAACACTACACACTGTATCCAATAATACTACATGGATAAGATGCATATGGTAATCAATAGGACCAAGTCTACGTCATAGATTAATAAAGAAAAGTTGCACAAAACAAAACTACAGAATAAAAGTTAAAATAACCAGTCCAGTTTACTGAAAATATCTCGATAGTTCAACGAATATCTCGACAAAAGTCACTCAGTTGTTTCTTTCATGTTGTCGTCTGTATATCACACTTCACCACCATTTCCTTTTTCCTTCTATTATATATCTCAACTAGCACCCCTCCTCTTCTCGATAGATTTCTTTCTTCCTCACTATTTTTTCTCTCTCTCGAGTGCATTTCTTTAATAATATGTTTGAAAGAGAATATTTAAAAGGGTAATTCTTTTTTTAAGGAATTTTAAATATATTGGAATTATTATTTTTTTAAAATAGTATAATTTTAAACTTCTCCTCAAAAAAATTAAGAGTTTAAAATTCTATATATATATATATATATATATATATATATATGAGGACGGATTTGTTTACTCCAAAAATCAGTCTATCTAGATTTACTTCATTTTATAATTCGTGTTTTATATCAAATTTTAACGATTCAATCGTTCTTAATATATATATATATATATATATGTATATATATGTGTGTGTGTGTGTGTGAGGACGGATTTGTTTACTCCAAAAATCAGTCTATCTAGATTTACTTCATTTTATTTAATGTTTCATTCATTGATTCAAATTGATAGATAATTATAAAATTATTTTATATGTTAATTTGAATTAATAAAACGATGTATCAAATAATTTTTTAATTTCTTAAAAATTTATAAACTTGATCTATGTATTAAAAATTTTAAATTCGTCGGTTGAATTGTTGAATTTTTGATGTTATTGAATATAATAAGATTAGATAGATTTACTATAGAGGTATTGGATCTTTTCTCTCTCTCTTTTTTTTTTTTTTTTCTGTCTCTCACTATATATATATATGTATGTATATATTATTTTTCTATTCTTCCTCTCTCTTTTATTTTTTATTTTTTCTTTTATCTTTATTTTTCATTTATCCTTTCTCTTCTCTCTCTCTTATAAAAAAGATCAATAACTTTTTTTAATTATTGAATACTTTATTTTTAAAAATTATTAAATGTTATCTATTTTTTTAAAATTATTAAATATTTAAAAATTGATCACTATTTATTTTACAAAATTTAACTTTTAAATGTTGAATATATATGTATCTATTAAAATCAATTCTTCTTATTGTGTAAATTAAATTATCTTATGTAAAATGAAAAACAAGCACCTCCTCCATTTTAAGTTTAGGGTTTAGAGTTTAGAGAAAGAAAACAAAGAAAGATCAAATTAAAAGAATCCTAAACAAAACAATTCAACCCTATAAGCAGGGGTAGGGAGTTCTTGATGCATTCGCAATTAATAATAATTAAAGAGCAGTCTTTGTTTCTTCAATGATCACTAAGGAAGTGTTTGACGTTAAACCCTTCTTTACCAACCAGCTCGCATAGGAATTTCCTTCTTGAAACACGTGAGTGAGAGAGTAACTCCATGATCTACTCAACATCTCTCGGATGAGTGTAATCTCATTTGCATAATAATATTGCGGGTTGGTTCCCTCTTGAACAAGCTGAACCAGATAAAGAGAATCTGATTGACACTTGATATGAGAGAACCTCCTCTCCCAACATAACTCTAACCCATTAACAAGAGTTATAATCTCTGCATGAATGTTGTTCGAAATGTCAAGGCTTCCAAAAAATTCAAATAAAAATCGACCCTCCAAGTCTCGCACCAAACTTCCAAACCCAACATGACTAAGAATCTATAGAGCGCTACCATCTACATTCAACATTACCCAAGGTGGATTTAGTGCCTCCCAAATCACCAAATAAGAAACAACATTCTGCTTATTGTCCAAGCTGACCTTCTGAAACACCTTTTGACATGAGCTATATTCTGCATACACTTCGGCTATGAGAGTATGTAATGTATCCAACGCTGCTTCAAAAATCACCTTATTTTGAAACTTTCATGTGACCCACAATAGAACTGGAATAATTGTACCATGTAAATCTGTAAGCCTTTTCAACCAATCCATTGTTATTACAAGATTTAGTGGAGGCGAGGGTGGAGTTTTGTCATTTTATATTATTGTAAAATTTTTTATTATAAAAAATGTACTATAGAACTAAACTACCTTTTTTCTTGAGTATGTGATATTAATACTGTCTTTTAAAAAATAGTTATTAACTTATGATCATTAGTAATTTAGACAAAGGATTAAATGTATTTTTAATCTTTGTAAAATGTGTAAGTTTTATATTGGTCATTGTAAATTTTATTCATAATTTTTATTTTTTTTAAATTTAAAATTATTATTTTTAATGCTTATTATTCTATGATAATTTTTTAACTACTTCTGTATTTATTAAGAGGTCAAATAATCATCTAAGATATTATCCTAGTTGTTAATGATCCTATGTTAGTATGTAATACATCTAAATTCTTTTATATTTCCTTAAACAAATGTTATCTATTTACTATAAAATAATCATTAATAACTAAAAAATTAATTTCATATTTTAGATGGATGAAAAATTAAAGAAAAATATTTTATAAATAATGGTTAGTGTTATTAGTAGTGATAGCACGTAGATCATTTACAATAAACAAGAAAATGGAAATGATCGAATGATTGATTTTTACAAGATGTTGAATGAGTGTGACTTTTACGTATATGACTACTACTAGTTCAATGTTCTCAACTTCATCATACATTTGACGATTTCATCATGGGATTACCATTGTTCCTCAAAAAATAAAAATCAAAACCATTTTTTTATTTTTTATTTTTTAAATTGAGTTAATACTTAAGTGTTTCAGAATTAAGTTAAGATCTAGTTCAACTTTATTTAGTTAATAATTAAAAATAAGTTTTGATTAAGAAAAATTATATTAAAAAGTTAAAAGACTGAAAACTTACAATTACCTTCATCAATACCTAAGATATTAATTTACTCTTTTTTATATTATTGATTTGTACCTAGAATCCATCTCTACCCATTAAGTTGTCAATAACAAACCAACATGCTAACCCACAAATATTTAAACCTAATATACAACCTTAGGACAAACAACCTAATACTTTGCCTCACTTAAAGAATGTTCATAAATGTATGAAAACTAACATATGTGTGAAATATATTATGATATAATCAAAGATTGTCATCAACGAGAACTTAAAAATTGCAAGAATTCACATGAGTACACACTACTTCTGCACTCATGTGGGTGATGTCACTTTGACACTAAATAAATTATATAAGTAGGCACATATGACACAAAATATACACACTTTCTATTAGTCACTTTTATCATCTCTACAAATATTAACTTGAACTTCAGAGTCTTTGTATGTAAATCATATACTAGAACTTGTATAATTTATTCAAAAATAAAAAAAGGACCTCACCAAATATTTTACTTCCTTAGGTCATTCTACCTACTTTATCGAATCTGGAATGATCTAATGTGAGAAAGTTATACTTTTTAGTCATAAAAATATAATTAAATTATACATATATATATATATATA